TATAGGACTCTAAATATTAATGTCACTCTGTTGCTGCATTTCTGTACAGGGTTATGCACTAACCATAACATAATAAAAAGGAGGCACCTGCCCATCTGGAACCGGACAGTAGTTGTAGCTAGCATAAGCCCTAGTAAAGTGGCAGCTGTCTATGCTGTATGCCGGAAAAGTATTTTTATCCTGGCATTAAAATTGTCATGCTCAGGAGCTGAACTGTTCTCATGTTCCTGCTTTGCAATCTCAACATTTAAAAACCAAACAACTCTGTAGAAGAACTCCTAGACAAGTCCATTCTTTGTTTCCAGGGCTACCTTTAGAAAGGGAGGTACATACACACCCTAAATATTGGAGGAGCAGTGCTGAATAGCAGAAAAAAAAAAAGCCATACAAAGGCAAGTTTGGAAAGAGATGTGCTCCGGTATCATCAAAATGCAACCATGTCATTCATAAGTTTCAATAAACTTTGCACTTTTTACAGGGAGACTGTGTCACACCTGGACTTGACTGTCAGAAGGAAACACCTACAATCTATAAGGCTTAGAGAATGCTTAATTATGATTTTTGAGAGATTTGTCTTCTAAGTACAGGATTCATGTGATTCATAAAAAGTAGGTCCAGCAGTTCTTCTCTCCTTTATAGGGAAGGATGCAGCATCTGCATAGTTAGTAACATTTAGTCTAAATAATTAGACCACAACTGAAGAATAGGGAGAGAACACTTTCTAATTACTTTTGCTTAAATGTTGATATACTTAGTAAAGGTCAAAATATGGGTGTTTACCAGAATAATCTGCTAAAACATACACACATAAATTATGGCAATGTGTAATTTTTATTGCCCTCTTTATGACGGGCAACAAATACAAATTATATCCTGTATAACAAATACAGGAAAGTAGCTTTTTGTATGGCTTCCAAGCCTTGTACTAAGTATGCTCCACAGTGTGGGGAGTGGGGTCAGAATCCAAGCCAGCCTCTTTCAACACAAATAGAGAGGTGCTCATCAATTCCACTATGAATTGAACTCAACATGAAGGCAACTTTGGCAACTGTCTCTAAATCAGTGGGGATGGCTGTATGTGCACTGTGCCACCTTCTATCAGAGAAGTCTAGAAATACAGTGGTTGTTAATATTCAGGTTTTTTTAGCCAAATGGAGACTCTTAAAACAAAACTAGCAATATTCAAATAAAAAAAAACGGTAAGGAAACATTAAGGAAAATCACGTGCCACATGCTCTTGCTGTAAGAAATAATGAATCAAACTGGAACAATTAGAGTTTTCATAAATTAAAAGAAAAAAAATTAGAGGTATAGATTATTTGAATATAATTGCAGCAGGCCATTGTTGGGGTTAAGCAGCAATATTCTATCAAAGCATGTAAACAGGGCCTGTTTTTTGTACCCATACTATTGGATAATTTAAAATTCAGTCTTGTGTTTTATATGATTCAGTCAGTTTGGATTTCAAAAATAAACCCAATTTAACTGCAGCCAAGAAGCATGTTTGACATTTCTTACCATTCATTCATTTTAGAAAATCAGCCAGCTGGAAAAACTGCTTTTCATAGTATTCAGTAGAGGAAAAACTGTGTTATAGAACTATCATGTCAGAATTTCCCATAGGATAAATGAAAGTTAAATAAAAGTTCGTAAGTGATTTGATTACTAATTGCAAGATCTACAAAGTACCTGGTAACTGTTGCAGTGTAGGAAGTGATATCACCAGCAGCATTTGTTAATTTTGATGAAAACAAATTCTGCTTATGACCAGTCTGCCTTGGGATGGAGGAGGTTGCCAGGCAAGTTTTTTGCTGTCATTCATTATTATTTTCATGCTATCCTCTGTAAAGAAAAAAAAAATCCTGGTTATAAAGAAGTCTTCCCAAACTGAGATGCTAGGGATGAGCTTCCTGAGTTCCGGATGCTTTTGTCAGAATTGTAGTTCCCTGAGAGCTGGAACTAGTGCATACCTGTGGAAGCAGATGAAAGGCTAGGAATAAAAATAAGATACTGAATTACTTCTGCTGGTACATGCCTGAAAAAAAAATCATCAAAGGTTATTATAATTATGACTGTTATTAGATATCCTGTCTGGTTTCTGCATATTTAAATTCTTTCTGAGAGAGGTGAAACTTAAGCACTTAGAGATCCCAGGGGAATAATCCCAGAAATGATGACATATTCCACTTCTTGAAGAAATTTCAATACCAAAGTTGCATTCTGTGTGCTTACACTTAATTATACTTGGATGCAGGATAGATAGTCATTTTCTGTCTTACAAATATGTGCAGCCAATTAGTCTTGTAGATCATGAATACCCCGTGGCCTAACTCATTAAATGGAATTTTTCTGTTGTTATGGCAAAAGAGTCTGCAAATAGCTGAATATTGTCTTTCTCTGTAAGTCCAGCCTTGGCCAAGGCTACAAATTGAGTAACCGTGAGCAATTACTGGTTTTACCTGTACTCCTTGCAGTATGCCATCTTGGTCTTGTGTATGTGTGTGTGTATGTATGTATGTATTGTAAATTGGTATAGGATGTTTGGCTCCTCTGCATTTCTGGTACTCAGTTTTAATGCCATGGTTTTGATGCTGTGTGCCAAATTTAGTCTTCCTGGTTTCCTCCCATTCCTGAGAAATTCTGAGCCCAGAGAAGCTCTGTCTGGCCCACTGAGACACAGAGACCTGAACTGGTTTTGCTCATGAAATCAAAGATAAGAAGAACTGGCAATGTGTTCCTGAAGAAACCACTGTTTATATCAAATGATCAAACACAGGTGTTCCTTTCTTCTTGCCTCTGATTTATTTTTTTTTAATTTTTTTTGCATATCATACTTGCCATTCTGTCATCTGAAAGTACGAAGATAATACACGTAGCTTAAACTACCTCACAGGCAGGATTCATAGAGACGGTAAAGGCAGAGCATTATGACCAGAGACAACCAGGGAATCACAAAACAATTGTGAAATGAGTTACAGACCCAGTATTGCTTTGATTAGGTTTTGCTAAGTTATAGTATCCATAAATAATGAATACAAGATGAGGACATGACTTGGTGATTGGCCTTGGTGCTTTTCAGTGGTAGCATGTTTCCCTGGGGATGCATGCTTCCTGTCTAACATTTCATCCTCCTCTTTTTCTTAATATTGTGTGACATCTGAGACTTTGGTCCTGTAGTGCTATAGCAGATACTGGGTTATGATTTTAAAAGCTATGGACTCAAATATCTTAGAAACAAACAAACAAAAGTCCTTCTCTCCATTCAGGGAAATGTTCCCTGTAATCTTATTACTGGCATTATCTCCAGTGCTTTCTTGACATGTATTTGCAAAACTCCTTTGGGGATTTGAATTAACTGTTTTCTTGAAAGAAAAAGCACACCTTACTGTTCAGAGGAATGGCAAATGGCTACAAAGAGCAGGCTGGTCACTGTCTCCCCTGCTCTCCAGGGTTTATTTTGGGAGTGCTTCAGGTATGTGGAGAGGAAGGCAAGAGATATTTCATGAAGTCTTTCTGGCAAGTGGAGAGTTATTTATGGGGATGTGTATATATATATGCATATGTACACACAACACAGTTGTGATATTGCTGTTCTTATTTCCTCGTAGATTTTTTTCTGCCATTGACTCTTAGAGAAAATCCTGATCTTTCACTTTTACTGCTTGTACCTTAAAGAATCAAATCATCTTGCATCTTCTTGCTCATTCACATGGCCTTTATAATGGAGGTCCTAAAACTTTACATAACAGCTGCCCCTAGGATGACATGGAAGTATTTTATGGAAGGGGGAGAGTCTTGAATGCAGCTCAGAGATATTAAAAGTTTGGAGTAAAATGTGAAATCTTTTTTGATTCTTAAAATAGCAATAAAAGCATGGAGTAAATTTAACTTGCTGGACAGTTGTAACTTGCAGAATGCATTTGTCAAATAGTTTCAAAATAATCCAGGGCACATTTATATGTAAAAAAAAAAAAAAAAAAATAGAGCTGGGCTCAAACTAAAAATGTTAGCTAAATGTCCTCCCTCCTAGGTTTGCAGAAGTTAAGCTATAAACACGATTACAAATCTCAGTAATAGGTAAATTCAGGTGTTGTGTGGGGAATCTTGAACTTCAGGGGAAGTCAGATTTTGGTTTGTATCGACTCGGCACCTAAATGCGACTGATTTGTCTTGGCTCTCCGGCATAACTAATTGTAAAACTGGTGCTTCCTTTAAACTGTTTCAGTGCATTTGAAAGTTTGGAGGTATCATTGAAACGCTGGGCTTTTTAGCCGAGTATTTAGTTGGCCTTTAATATGCAGTGTCTATGAGTTGTTCAAAACTCTTCTTCACAGAGTCTGTAATGTGCAGTTTTGACTCTGCTGTCATGGAAATCAATGTGTTCTCCTGAGTACAGCTTACTGAAATCACCAAGAAGGTATAAAGAGATGCCCTATCATTGTAAAGAGCAAGCGTGGCTTAAAAAAAAAAGGGGGGGCAAATAGATGAGCATGATGGCATCTAGAAGTTGTGCAGTGTGCTAATGCTCCCTCGGTCTCTCAGGTGCTGCTAGTAGTTTTCTTTGTTGGAAGGGTGGAGGGATAGATGGAATGGGGCAGACAGTGATGTTACCCTTTTTGTGATTGATTGCAAAATTTTGTGCTCTTGGGTTGTTTGTTGTGGTTTTGGGTTTTTTTTTCATGGACTCTGTGAATATCTGATATTTTTATTTGTTCTTGTGTTAATCAGTTAAAATCAGTTTATATTTCTGGAATACCATTTAACTGGAATTTTGTGTTAAGCCATTACAGTACCACAGTTCTAGCCCTCAATCCTGACTTCTAACCCTGTCATTTTTAGACAATTTGAACTAGGGCTTTCTCTGCCCTGTCTTCTTGCTGACAGAATTTCTTCGCAGCATTGGATTATTTCTGCTAAGACTGTTTGTAGTTGCAGCTCTCTTCTGAGTGTAATTTGTTATTTTTATTTTCTGAGTCATCTCTCTCTCTTTTATTTTCCAGGTTGGTGAGAGGCAGAGAGTTCTGGTAACAGAAGAATCCTTTGATTCCAATTACTATGTTGCTCACAATCCTTTCTATGAGCAGGTACAGTTAAGTAAACAAAGTAACATTTTTCTGTTTTATCTTTGCTTTCTGATAATCTCAACACCGTGTGGCACAGTGAAAGCAAAAATAAAAAAAAAATAAAGAAATAAGAAACATTTTGCAGGCAACATTCTTCCAGAAACAATTTCTTGATGTGAGTTCAAGACTTGTTTATGGGGTATGCAGTCATTTTCATTTCTGTGTCTCCAAAGCATTGTTTTCTGAATAGTTGAATCTTGATAATTTCTGTACATCTTTCAGAAAATTGTTTCAGGCAATGCAATTTGGAAAAAAAAATCCAAAATGAAATAATTCAAACAGTAGGAAGGGTCAGAAACTTTGTCAGGATTAACACTTCAACCTGATACGTCGCATTTCATTTTATGTACTTTCTGTAATGAATTCTTTCCACACAGAAACATTATCTGTGAGCTAGGAAGGAAGTACAGCATCTCTTCCACAAAATCATTATTTTTGCTCAAAAGCAGATGACTTGCTGAAAATCAGTAAAATCAACTTCTGAATCATCATGATTTCATTCTGGTTTGCCTTTGGCTTCTCCTTCATTTTCTTGCACTGAGCTCTCTACAGTTTGCTCTCGTTACCTTTAGTTATTCAGTTGTCTGAACCTGGAGAGGCTACTGATCCTGGCTGTACTTAAATAGTCACTAATAGTGCTTTCTTCTGGCTCAGGGTTACATTACAGCATTTATTTCTTTATTTTTGCTTGGTTTTGGTTAGTAGGAAATAACATTCCTGCTCATGAAATATCTGCTTCTTTTAGATATCTGGGTTACTATTTTTTCCTCTTTTTCTTTTTTTTTCTTTTTTTTTTTTTTTTTAAATCTCTTTGTTGTTGTACTTAATCTCTAACCACTGTCTAAACCTTATGTATTGCTGTTCCTTGCTTTTGTAGCTTATCAGTCATATTTGAGGAACATGGTTTTCCAGATAGATATTAAAAAGAAATTGCTTGGTTTATGAAAGTTTCATTAATTAAAGAGAAAGCAGTATGTGAAAAAGAAGGTGTTTTATGAGGTGTTTGTACAGCACCTAATACCACTCCTGGTTGGGACTGGAAATACACAAAATGCAAATGGTAACATAGGGAGTAATTTTAAATTTTATTACGGACTACATACTTCCCATTTTTAAAATGTATGTCTTTTCCCTAAAATCTTGTGTGGCGTGTTTGACTAGGATAATATCCTGCTGTTTGTCCAGGTAAGTACAAGACTTGGTGCTATTTACTTAACTTTTAATAGCAGTGAATTTGATGATAGTAAATTGAAAACCACTCTTGAGTCGCTAAATATTGTATTACAGTTTGGAAGCTGGAGCTCAGAGACCTGGTGTAACGTTCTGTTAACTCAAATAGTTATCAGACCTATTCTCTGTTCACTGACCTCATCTATATTAAAAGAGTTTGCTATTAAAGCTACATCAATAGACCTACACTGACAGATTTCTTGGTAGAACTAGAGCTTACATATTGTGGAGGCTCTTGTTTTAGAGCCTTTTTATGCCACTTGTTCTTCCAGCAAAAAATGTTCCTCCTGTATGTTGGGATCTTTCTTTCCTAACGCAGACTATTTAGAAACATCTGTTATGTTGTGTCTTTTTTGTGAAGTTCTTATGGGACTGTCTGATCTTAGGGCATATTCAGGAAAGGGTGGCACTAGTTGCTAACCAAAGAAACACTCATCCATTTTTACAGGCTTTCATTGTCAGTCATGCATCTCAGCTTCAAAGGATCTGCACAATCAAAATAAGGCCTTGTGCAAACAGAAACTAGGGCATAATTTCTGTCCCAAAGCATCTACATACTCAAAAACTTTTAATTTTTTTTAAAAAGCTGACCTGACACTGCACAGATCTTGAAGAACACAAGCTGGAGATGTTACTGGTCCAGTGTGTGGTCAGGGGCTATCGTGTATGCTGGTAACTAAATTTTTGAAGTGTTAGGATTTGCTCTGATGTTTATAAAATACCTGTTTTCTGAGTGGAAGCTGGAGACACTGATGTTCTTTGTGGCATTTAGTAACTATGTCTTTATCTTTATTTGAAAGGTTCTTGTACCAAAGGATCCTTTGTTAATGGGTAAAATGGTAGAAGTGAATATTTATGAAGCTGGGAAACATTTCATGAAGGGGCAACCAGTGTCAGATGCCAGAGTTTACACTGCATCCATCACTAGGCCGTTAGCAAAAGGAGAAGTTTCTGGTTTAACAGGGGTGAGTAAAAAACATTTTCTGCTTTAATACACTAGTAAACCAGCAGCTGTTCAAGCATAATGATTCCATGCTATGTATCTGTTATCATTTTATAGTTCCCCTCTTATATATGCATGAAGCTTTAATCTTTACTGACAGATTGAAATCTGAATTTAAAAGATGTTTTTGCTGATGCTCCTAGCTTTACTTTGCTGACTCTAAAGGCAATAATACACTTGTTTCTTGTTCCAGGGTGCAATAGCTTAGTAGAACTGAAAAGATTTAACATCAGTGATTATATAATTCAGTGTATTTTAGTTCTAGTTTAGTGGAAGGATGAATTGGTTTATTTTGCTTTACAAAGCTGTTTCTGAAAAATGTGCATTGGCTACATGCTGTTAGAACAGATCAAAATTGGATTCAGAGGTTCAAAATTAACTGATGAGTGGAGGTAAGGGATATTTACAATATATTTTGGAAAAATGTCAACATCTGATTTAAAGAAAATGAAACTCCCTTAAAAAGAGATCTGATCCTTATTTTACACCTCAGTAGATATGGCTGTTAGCCAAGTATTCTTATGCATTTCATGGAGCTCTAGTTGTAAAAACTGATGGAGTGTGAAATGAAAATGTGTATCACATTTCTAAGCATCATTTGATGTCCTTTCTCCTGCACTGTTAGGATCTCCAAAAATATGTAGCAATAATTTAGCACATGGAAGAAGCATAATTGACAGTTTAGCAGCCACCTTGCTGCTATTACAGTAAATTGTTGACAAGTATTAAAGTATATATGCATCCTTGTTAAAGTTCAAAGTAGTCATATTTAAAAGAAACAATCAAGGCATACCTTATGTGACTAGTGTTAAGCTAAGCTACTTGGTCTCTTGAATAAGCCTGGCTATGGAAACACAGAACAACAATAATGCACCTACTGTAATGTGTTTGGCAGGTCATGAAACTTAAGCACAAACACATTGCTAAACTCTCGTTTGAATACTGTCTGTGTGCCTGTGTATAATGGCCTGATAAGGGTCCATAAGAGGGGAAAAACCAGCCAAAACCCTCAAATTGCCTGGTTGGACTATGTAGCTATTTAAACACAGATGATTTTTTCATCAGAATGTGGGGTTTTTTTTTAATAATCTGCTGGAACAGACCCAAGTCTGTCATTAAGTTGAGTGTGTGCTGCCAGAAGCTTGTAGCATGGGAACAAGCAAGCAGACTGTTGACTGAAATTTTGTATGTTAAAAATGAGAGATAAAATTATTAAAATTGAGGATACTGGTAACTGCCATAAGAACTTACTGAGATGTATAGACCTACTCCTGCCCTTTGAGTGTAGGTAAGAACAAGTACCTGGAATGCTCAAGTAAATGGCTACAGAAAGTGAATAATAAGGCAAATTGCTTTTCATTACTTTTGTGGTTGCTAGTGCTCCCTCAAGGGAGTATCCTATTTGTGTTTGGTCTACTGGGCATGTTGCAAACTTTTACTTTCTGGGGAAAAAAAAAAAAAGAAATCTCAATATTTCAGTAAATGGGACATCTTTTGTATGTGGAAGCTACAGCTGAAAGCTTTTAATCATGCTTGGCCAATACATAATCTGTAGAACATGAGCTGAAAGTATTAGTGAGAAGTTCGTCCTGACAAATCATATGTGGCAAGTCAGGAGCTTTCTTAAGTCACTGTAGGTTTTTGGCTGGCTGAAAGATGCTCTTTAAGGAGTTCTGTATTATTGGACCGCTGGGAAACATTTCCTGGTAGGTGTGCTCTAGACATGTAATTATAACCTAAGATGCTTATGAGCAAGATAGAAGGGTGACATATGTCATATGACCTTTTATATAGCTTGTTATGTGTGCAGATGGCGTGTTGGGGAAAGAAGGAGGAGGCAACTCAGAACATATGTAATTCAGATACTCCCTTAAAAGTAGCGAAAGATCTTGAATCTTCAACAAGCTTCCAAGTGCCTCCACCAGGTTTTCAGAGAGGCAGCATGCAAAACTGAAACCTTGGATAATGTTTTTAAGTAATCAAAATGTATAATGTTACCTAACATCGGTTATAAAAGCAAAAAATTGAAACACATGTGGACCTTTCACTTTCTGCTTCCCACTGTGCTCACAAATAAGCAAGAATTAGGGTCTGGTTTACATTCCCTGGCTTGAAAGGATGGGTAGCCAGCTGGCTCTTTTAAGAGCAGGTATGTTTCTGTTGGATGTCCCTTGAGGAGAAGCTCTTTTAGCGCAGCAACCAGCATGCTATATGTCGCAAGCTGTCTGAAGTGCCCATGAAGTTTCTAAGGGCCTTCTGGTCTCACATGGTCAGTAATACAACTTCCTCTTAACTTGTTTATGTTTGCTGGTTCATTATGAGGGCTAGTTCAGAGAAATACATGAATTTAAATGTAGACAGATGTAATCTACATCAAAGGAATGGGATAATAGGCTATACTGCAGTAAAACACATGCTTCAGTCCATTCCCATTCAACCAAGCATTTGGTTCTTTTCTAATGACCATGTATATTACAGGGGCCGCAGTGCACACATTACAGTCCAGCATGTTGCACAAGTACTATGAAGAAGAGGAATAGATTGCTGAGTCAGAGCTGTAATGTGGTCGTAGACAGTCTGTAGGAGTTAAAAAGATGCTATTTCTGTAGTCTATCCTGGGCATCGCTTGCTATCGTTAACAGTGTTTTCATTAGCTTGCATAGGGCACAGTGAAAGATGTTTCAAAAAACATCACAGCTGTACTTCTCTGTAATGAGGAATGATCAGAGAAAGGGTGAAAGCTTTCACAAACTGTACAGTTTTTGAGGAAACTAATTATATGACTTAAAAAAAAATAAAAAATTGAGAACACCACAATGTGAGGATGTCAAAGCAAGCCACAAACCCATCCTAAGCAAGAAGAAACTTCTGTAGATGCTGTGATGAGGAATACCTCAAAAGGACCAGAGCTCTTTCTCAGCTACTACATGCCCCTCAGTAATTTTTTTCATGACAACATGGTGTGCCTGAAGGAACAATTGTAGGCCTTAATTATTTTTTTTTACTTTTTTTTAACCCTTTTGATGGCATGATTGGGGCAACAAATTCATCCAAAGAAATACAAGAAGCAGGTCACCAACTGGAATCAGCAGATTGGGCTGGGAAAGAGGGAATGCAAAATGTCACACAAAGGACAATCTACACACTCCATAAAATATTCACACATTGTATATCTGTGCCAAATAAGGATGAGACAAATACTGATAGAATTAATTCAGGATATTTCTAGCATATCTTTTTTTATCATGCTCTTGTCACTTCAGCATTTTGAAATTCAGTAAAGCAATTTAATATGTCTGCCATGTTCTTAAGCACTCTGTTAAACTAGTCTTTGAGATTCTGGAAGTGGGTTTGCAACACATGTATTACTGAGTACATTGTCACTGGATAATAAACATTTTTGAAAAGTCAGCAGTGCATGTTAATGATATGAATGTAATTTAATATTTTACTATTTTAATTTTTATGCATTTTAGCCATGTTTAGGGATCTTGACAGTTTCCCAGCAGCATAAAGTATAATACCTAATAAATAAGTCCTGTTTACAGAAAAATGTTTGCCCAAACCTAATTGCTGAAAAAAGAAAGAATCTGCAAGAATATGATCTCTTGTTAGAAATGGAAATAGAGTAGGTTCTGTAATCCAAAAATAATTCCTGTTGTTTACATATGCTCTGTGACTAGGGGGGAAAAATATTGCAAGATGAGAAATACATGAAGAAGAGACCAAAGGACTAGGCAATAAAAATAAAAGGCTGGCTACCTGCCAGAATTGTAATGCATTGCCAGAATCAAAGCCCTGAAAGTCGGAGGGCCTTTGGTGGGAAATTTTAATCAGATGGAAAATTAAGGCAAGAAAAAAAATTAACAGGCTATTTATATAGTCATTATTATTTTTTGTTCATAATTCCTGTTTCTGTAATGCATCTATGACTGACTTGCTTTTTAAATAAATACAGGCACATCTTTGTTATCTGTTTTCTGTTGGTTTATGTGATAGCATTCTTCATGTCTAATGCTTCCCCTGCAAATAACTCCTGCTGATGTTCGCCATTTGCAGTATCTCCTTTGTGAGTCTGGGATCTTGGTGCACATCTCTATGGCTCCCAAGCCATGGTATTATCCACAGCTGGCTTGTTAAACTAATAGCTGTTCAAGCCTTTAGGACCTTCTGAGGAAATGAGGAGTGAGCCACTGATTTTGAGTTAGCAAGCAATTCTTGGTCAGTCTGCTTGTGCCCTTTTTAATCTTCATCCTGCCTTCATTTTTATTTTTTTTTTTGCAGTAGGTTATTGTAATTTGGGATGCTACAGAGGAAGCTTTATGTTCCTGGTCGCCCAGTTAGCAACAAGTATTTTCTAGTTACATAAGTGAAAGATGACCTCTATCATTGCCCAGCCTTTTTTCTGATGTTAGGAAACAGGAAAGATGCATATATCAAACACGTCTTTATAGCCTGCCAGAAAAAACAATCAACAAAGCATAGCTTGAGGGAAACTCTCTGATCTCAGGTAGAAAGGGTGCTTCACTTGCAGGCAAAATAAAATGGAGAAGGGGGAAGAAAGTATATTCTGCTGGAACAGAAATAAAAGAAATGATAGCAGAATTGAGATCTGTGTGTTGGAAACTTCCTTCAAGAACTTGGAAGGAAATGTGGAATATGTGCATAAAGCTGAAGTGATTATTAAGCGCATTTTTTACATATGCTGGAGTTTCAAAGTGGTAGAAAAGTTGGTTCCTGAACAGGAACTACAGATCAGAGATTTAGGGGAAAAAAAGAGAATGAGGAAGCAAATTTTTGCAAGGAGAGGAATTTTTCATAAAATTACAGAAACTATAGAAAGTTTGAGATATGCTAATGAAAGGCTGGCATTTCCAAAGAAGAAAGATAAAGTAAAATAAAACACACCTTTTGCCTCTCTTGGAAAGGTACTTTGCAAAGGGATCTTTGTATTACGATGTC